TATGTTCATGTCCTCAGTAGGTGGAAAAGTGGAAATTGAAGTCGTCGGTGGTATGTCTCGCAAGATTCGTTTTATATGGGGAATTCATAAAGCACGCCACGGGCTTTTAGTTTATGGAAGTACAATGTACATGCATACCGTTCTTGTACTTTCCAGGTATAAAAATCTACAACATTGTTTATCCTTATATTCTTGAGTAGGTTTGTGACCGGTATAATGTAGCACCTATCAAAAGAGTACGACAGTCACTAGTGCATATTTTTCGTATGAACAGCACAAACACGCGTGTAATGGGCAAACAAATGACACACTTTTACCCCCAGTGGGACGGGTAGGCATGGACGGCTTATCCATCGCAGCCTCAAAGAGAGCGCGCTTGGCCTTTAAAGAAAGTGCGGAGACTTCTTCGGTATCAGACATGATGTGTGCGGGTATATTGCGTATACTGTGATAAGTCTGTGAGTCGTGCCACAGCCCTTTATATGTACCCAGAGTATTTCAATACAATTTATTTTACATATTTACATAAATACATCGCAACACATATTTGGCTCTTATCGTCAAATTTCAATTTCGCAAAACAGAGTTCGCATGTTACTCATTTGTGTTTGTTTCTAAAAAAACCCCCATCTGACTTTCTGACACTCTGAATATTTATTGACATATAATTTTGCTGGATGATTTATTAGTGGATAGCTTTGCTGAAGCCGCCACTGAGAGAATATCCTTACGTTGCTATGTATAAGCTTGTGGGCACATCCTTGCGTTGCTGTTCATACCTTATTGGCATATCCTTCGGTCGTCACTACGCACTGGAGAATCACTACGACAGCGTTCTTGTATCTTTCCACGAAGAAGGTGCAGGCAGCTCTGCGCATACGTTCACAGATCAGTCACACATAATCACGGATAGCAGTCATAGCTAGTCACAAGTGTCAGTCGCATACGTTTATAAAAGTCAGACGCAAATCTTCACATACATCAGTGGCATGCAGTTGCAAATGTCTGGCGCATTCATATCACTTGCGTTACAATAGCATATTCGCAGAGATGTACACGCACGTAGAGATGTACACGGTCACGCTGCTAAGATGTACACGGCCAATGGCTCGAATTCATCTAGAATGAAATCTTGTATGTTCAATTACAAAATTATGACTAGAATTTACCCCATTTTTATGTTTGCAATAACGAAACCTACGTTTTGTATAGGAATAAATCCGACACACTTTCTGCAATAATAAAAGCGTGAAACGTAGCTTGCGATATCAACTAAAGGTGTCGAGGAAAACAATTATTTGCAAGAGACGAAGCCACAACTAAGGAACTGCGCGACGAGGAAACCTCCTATTGCGACCAAACACTACACCGCCGATTTGGTTGTTGTATAGCTTATTCGATATTCACTTACCCACAATTCTTATCCTATGGAGTGAGTGATACAATAAACGAAGCACACGTGAACACAATGAGCAGAGCACTAAAAACAAGTAGATTGATGAGTATGGCCGTCTCAATTTTACATATTGAGCAATGTCCTCTGATCACAATGCATCTCCGTACATATTCTACATCTACTGCTGAGCTCAGTTCGTTCGCATATGCTTCGTCCGTAATCTACTTTCAGCGTTTCAGCCCCCGAAACCTATCCAACTATAAACCACTGCCCCTCCCGGAGCCTTTCTATTCACTCCCTTCCTCGAACGATGTAAATCAATTCCTGGACATATTACGCCAACTGAGTTGCCGTTCCCACTGTACCCAGGAATACACGCAGCGGTCTCAGCCAACGCCGATCCAGTTGCTAGTCCACCTCCCACCACGAGCGCACTGGTCGATGCGGCACCCAACCCAGCAGCACCTACAGACTGCAGTACAGCGCATGTAGAGCCAGATGCAACAGCCCCGCCCGAATAAGCCATAATCCCCGCTGCTGGAGAGCCTGCGACTATCCCTCCAGCACCGAATCCGAGAGCCGAAACACTCGCTACGGCTACAATGGGAGCCACTACTGCTCCGACGACCACGCCTGCTTGAGCAGCCAGGTTCTTAGGATCAATGAACTCTAGCTGAGTGGCAGTTGCGGCGTCTGTGTCACCCATGCTGACCTCGATGGCCGAGCGCACTTGTGAGATGATTACACACTGCTTAGAGAAGTTTTCTTGGGTTCTGGTGGCACCATCCATGTCCCCGTGACAAGCCTGTACAGCCGACTTGGCCTGAGATACAATAGGCACACTGTCTACATTACCCATATCAGCTCAATGCTTGATAGTTACCCACACTTAAAATTGATGTGTATAATACTGAATTTAGTCTGTCGAATATGTATATACATATGTTGTCTGTCAAGAAAGCTATGGCACCATATGAATCCCGACGACTGTATGGCACCATATGAATCCTGATGACTACGGCACCATACAAATGAATCCTGTGTCTTCCCAGTGTTATCAGTTGGCTATGTCCCAAGGCAGGGCCAGATGCAAGATGTTAAGGAATTTGATCTCAGAAAAGGGACCGTCATAATGAGTCATCATTTTCGAAAACCGCGCGAAGCTTGCTCGCTGCAAGCCTGAAAGGCTGAAGGCCGAAATGGCCGACGATGGGTTGGCTATTTTATGAAAATTGAAACCTTACATCCTTGACCTATACGTACGTACACGAACAGTTCAGATGCTCACAGGCCAAATTCAGCGAGAACGAGAGGGTACGTAGGGAGACGAGGCACACCTGCATGATGTCTGGCGACCAACTGGAAAATTTGCCACGTAGATCGAGGTTGAGTTTGAGAAACGGGGCCAAAAAGGTAGAAGAGGAAGGTAAAAGACTACAAAACTTGTAACCCGATTTGCGGGTCTACTTTTGCCCTACCCGGCGTGTATGCGGTGCATACTAATCATAGTACTTGTATACGTTTCTCAATTGTACAGCGAAACTGACAGGATCTTGGTGATGTATATATATATATATGTGTGTGTGTGTGTGTGTGTGTGTGTGTGTGTGTGTGTGTGTGTGTGTGTGTGTGTGTGTGTGTGTGTTGTGTGTGTGTGTNT